TGAAAGTTCCTGTCTTTTACTAAAATACAGGCCGGGCGCGGTGCTAGCTGTTATCCGCACTTTGGAGGCTGAGGATCGGGCGGATCACGAGGTCGAAGAACCAGCCATCCTGGGGTTAATTCGGTTGACCCGTCTTCACTAAAAATCAAAAAACTAGCCGGTGGGGGTGCGGCGCCTTGTGGTCCCAGTACTCGGCGGTTGAGGAGGAGAATGGTGTAAACAGGAGCGGAGCCTTGCAGGTGAGCTGAGGTCGGCATGCACTCCAGGCTTGGTGCGGACAAAGCGAGAGTTGTCTTCAAACAAAAAAAAAGCCATGCGTGGTAGTGGCGCTGTTGTAGTCCAGCTACTGGGAGGGCTGAGGGCCGGGGGATCCTTGAAAACCAGGGAGGCGGGAGGTTTGCTGTGAGCTGAGTCGGACCACTGAACTCCAGGCCTGGTCTCAGCTCACTGCAACCTCTGCCTCCTGGGTTCAAGCGATTCTCCTGCCTCAGCCTCCTGAGTAGCTGGGATTACAAGTGCCTGCTACCACACCCAGCTAATTTTTGTATTTTTAGTAGAGATGGGGTTTCGCCGTGTTAGCCAGGATGGTCTCGATCTCTTGACCTCATGATCTGCCCACCTTGGCCTCCCGCAGTGCTGGGATAACAGGTGTGAGCCCCTGTGCCCGACCTGGTTGCACTTTTTCTCTACTTGTTACCCGCATGGGAATTTGTGAGTCAGTTAGATAGCTGATAGTTTCTACCTATTTGCCAGAGGAGGTAACTGAGTTACAGAGAGGAGAAAAGACCTAACATCACAGAGGATCAGAAACCCCAGGCTCCTGACTCCCTTCCCACTCCCTGCTCCTCACTGGCAGGTGGGGTCTGCCCTCGCCCCCTCCCTGCAGCGCCCCACACAGAGGTGACACTGTGGGCCCTCTGCCTTTCCCAGGAAGCCTCCCTGAGTTCCTGGGGCAAACTGGGCTCCCTTCTTCGTGCCCCCATCCCGCTCAGGGCAAGCCGGTTACAGCACCTGTCGCACCTGTCGTGCTGTTTTGTCACTTACAATTTGCCTCCCACTGAGTTCTCTGAGGGCGGGAACCGGGTCTCCTTTACCCCGGCATGAACAGGAGCTCAGAAATGCGGAATGAAGTCGTTAATTTACACAGCACCTGCCGTGCACCTGGAGAAGATGAGATCGTGGCCGGCGTGTGGACATACTCACACGGTCAAAGCCCGTGGCGTGTTCAAAGCCTCTCAGTCTCCGGCCCGCTCTGAGCCTCCGGTGTCCTGCTGAGGTCACGGAAACCATCCCCATTTTACACACAAGGACACTGAGGCTCAGAGGGGCTCCAGGTTCCTTCCTGGGGTCAGGCAGTAGCAGGTGGTGCAGCAGAATCCATGTCTTCCGGCACCAGAGCCCGACCTCTTCCCTTTAGGGCACTTCTCGAAGTCTGGCCAGGACCCCCACACGGCCACTCGGGCTGCTTGTTAACGTGGAAGCTTCCTGAACTCTTTCCAAACCCACAGACCCCCCTTCTGGGGGCTGCTGCTCAGAAGCTTCTGGCTAGTGAGCTCCGTAGGACCGTCCCACCTGTGTGTGGACCAGGCGCCTCCACTCCGTGGCCCCCAGATGCCACCCCTCCTCCCTCTCCTGCTTCCCGCTGGCTGGAAGGTCCTCACCTCAGGGAGCCAGGCCCGTGGCGTGGAGCAGGCGTTCTTCTTCCCAGCCTGGGCGGGTGTCAGAGCCGGGCTGAGCTGCTCCCAAATCTCTCCTTACCCCCAGATTATCCTCACTCCCTTCGCCGCCGCCGCCCCTGACCCACTCACACATCTGTTCTCACTCAGAGGTGAGGCCCTGTGTCTTCAGCTGTGGTAACCTCAGGACCTCGGGACAGGCAGGCCCAGGGTGTAGGCACCGTGACTGTTCCTGCTCTGCAGACAGGGAACCCGGGGAGGGAAGTGAGGTGGTTTGTGCAGAGCCGGGGTGTGGCCCAGATGGTCTGACTCCGGAACCCTCGCTCTGACCCTGTGAGCCGTCCCCAGCCCCTTCCAAACCCTCCTCTGACCCTGTGAGCCGTCCCCATCCCTCACTCTGACCCTGTGAGCCGTCCCCCAGCCCCTTCCGGAACCCTCGCTCTGACCCTGTGAGCCATCCCCATCCCTCGCTCTGACCCTGTGAGCCGTCCCCCTCCCCTTCCGGAACCCTCGCTCTGACCCTGTGAGCCATCCCCCAGCACCTTCCGGAACCCTCACTCTGACCCTGTGAGCCGTCCCCCAGCACCTTCCGTGAACCCTCGCTCTGACCCTGTGAGCTGTCCCTATTCCCTTCCGGAACCCTCGCTCTGACCCTGTGAGCCGTCCTCCAGCACCTTCCGGAACCCTCGCTCTGACCCTGTGAGCTGTCCCTATCCCCTTCCGGAACCTTCGATCTGACCCTGTGAGCCATCCCCAGCACCTTCCGGAACCCTCGCTCTGACCCTGTGAGCTGTCCCCCAGCACCTTCCGGAACCCTCGCTCTGACCCTGTGAGCCGTCCCCAGCCCCTCAAGGAGGGTTTGCTCACACTGACATCAGTCCATGATGACAGCACTTCACGGCCCGTCTCAGACACACAGACCCACTCCCTGGTCTGGCCCAGGCCGGGGTGCTCAGCGCCTCTGTGTTGTTCGCCTGCGAGTCCGCCGCACCCACGTTCCGTGTGTTCCGATGCCCACCTGGGTCTCCTTTCTGTTGCTCCAGCTGGAGGCTTCCTGGGGCAGCTGCGCTCTCCTTTCTGTGGGAAAGCCGTTCTTGTTTTGGAGACAGTCTCGCTCTGTCTTCCAGGCTGCAGTGGCGAGATCTCGGCTCACTGCAACCTCTACCTCCCAGGTTCAAGAGATTCTCCTGCCTCAGCCTCCTGAGTCGCTGGGATTGCAGGCACACGCCACCACACCCAGCTAATTTTTGTATTTTTAGTAGAGACGGGGTTTCACTGTGTTGGCCAGGCTGGTCTGAAACTCCTGTCCTCCGGTGATCTGCCCACCTCGGCCTCCCAAAGTGCTGAGATTTATAGGCGTGAGCTACCGTGCCCGGCCAGGGAAGCTGTTCTGATGGAGAACAGCCCAGCTGGGCAGCTCCGGGAGCCAAGCAGAGTAAGCCACCTGCACTGTCTGCCCGCACTCTGACCTCTGCCTTGATTCACACTGCAGAGAGTTGGCCGTGGTGCCCCAAAGGCACCCCCCTCACGGCCTCCGGTACCCTGGGAACAACCTCGGCATGTCCCTGGGGGTGGGAGGACTGCCGGGGTCTGAGCCCAGTGGGGCTGTGGGTTTGCAGAGGGCCTGGGGTCTGGGCCGGTGCTGTGGCCTCAGCAGTTGTGTCCCGGGATAGATTTTCAGCCTGAAGGCCAGGGTTCAAGATGGAAATGCCGGGGAACGCCCCTGGCCCTGCCGTCCCGCCCCAGCCTCCCACCGCCTTGTTACCTGGAGCACTTGGTGGTGGTCGGAGCCTCATTCGCCGTGTGCTGGCTGGGTTCCCAGGCCTGTTCTTGGTACTGCGGGTGCACCGGCGGGCAAGAAAACTCAGGCTTCTCCAGTGTGGTGTTTATGTCGTGGGGGGAGAGAGACTAGGGACGCACGGGTAGAGCAGATCCCTGTGGTTTATGTTAAGTGCAGCAGAGGAAACCATAGCACCCTGGACTTGGGGGGGTTGCTCCGAGCGTTCAGGACCCAGAGGCAAGGTGCTAAACGCCTCCAGCACCTCCCACCCCAGAAATGCCGCTGTTGAGACCTGGGCACCAGTGTTATGGGGAGAGGTGGCACCAGGGTGCTCAGTGAAGAGTTTGTGGTAACGTCTCCATGGTGAGGAAGATGCAGACACAGCACAGTTGAGGGCCCTTTAGAGGGAGGAGGAGGCCAGAGTGTGGGTTGGGCCAAGGTGAGGAGGGCAGAGCATGGGCTGGGCTGAGGTGGGGAGGGCAGAGTGTGGAGTGGGCTGAGGTAGGGAGGGCAGAGCCCCTAAGAAGGGGGCAGGGAAACAGGAGGAGCCGGATGGTCCAAAGCTTCAGGGAGGCGAGAGCCAAGGTGCCGTCCTCAAGGATGTTGGAAAGGACAGATGCGATGTCCCCCTCCATCCTGAGCGCTGCCCCTCCGGCCCCACCCTGACCCCACTCATACGGTATCTCCGTCTGTCCTTCCGCCACAGACCTGTACTGTACCCTGGAGGTGGATTCCTTCGGCTATTTTGTCAGCAAAGCCAAAACCAGGGTGTTCCGGGACACAGCGGAGCCCAAGTGGGATGAGGTGAGTGGCAGGGGCTGGTGTCTCTGCAGGGACCCTCGAGTTTGCCACTGAGTGTGCCCCCACCGCCCTGAGTGTGCCCCCACCGCCCTGAGTGTGCCACCACCGCCCTGAGTGTGCCGCCACCGCCCTGAGTGTGCCGCCACCGCCCTGAGTGTGCCGCCACTGCCCTGAGTGTGCTGCCACTGCCCCGTGCCCATGGCCTGTCTGCTGGGGACGGCTAGGCCCGTTGGTCAGACCAGCTCTGCCTGTGCCCCCCTTTCTGCCCCCTGCTCCTGTGGTTTCTGATTACGGTGTGTGTCTGGGTGTCAGACCCTGCGCTGTCAGCTCCGGCCCCAGACTCCGTCGGTGATGGGAGGCCTCTCGGAGCTCCAGAAAATCTGACGTGTTCCTTGTGGGCCGTGCTTACTCAGTTCTCCTTGCAGAGCTGAGGGGCCCGCACCTGCCGGAAAGCCAGGCCTCCCAGCTTCGGAGGTTCAGGGCCCTTTGTCCCATCTTTCCCCAGGAGTTTGAGATCGAGCTGGAGGGTTCCCAGTCCCTGAGGATCCTGTGCTATGAGAAGTGCTATGACAAGACCAAGGTCAACAAGGACAACAACGAGATCGTGGACAAGATCATGGGCAAAGGGCAGATCCAGGTGAGGCCAGGGTGCCACGGCAAGGCTGGGGAGCCTCCGGGAGACGGTTCCAGTTGAAAAGGAGTCCTGGTCAAGGAGCCTGCTCTTTGGTGATTTTGGTTCCAAGCTGGTTGGAGGAAAGTTCCTCAGGGGGTGGTTCTCCCCTGCTAGAGGGGGCCGCTTGGTGTGGCTTCGGAGGCCCAGGTGTGTGCCTGGCGCCCCAGGTGGGCCATCCACGCTTCTGCGAGATGGAAGCAGCCAGCTTTGTTTTCACACCCCAGCTTTAGTCTACGGGTGGCTTTTTCGCGGAACGCCGTAGTGAGGAGGATTCTGAGGCTGCGTCGGCGAACGGGGGGGAGGAATGCTGCGTGTGAGGAGCAGTGTCTGCCGTTGACGGGGGCCTGAGGGAGGCACACGGACCAGGCGTTTGCTGTTCTGCCTGAAGGACTTAGGGGCCGTCTGGTTGGCTCGGGGGCCGGGGGTGGTCTCTGACTTGTTGCTGGGATGGCTGGACCTTACTCAGCTGTGTTGGGAGCCTGAGGCTTCGGGTGGGGACTTGGGTGTTAGTAGAGGCTGCACCTCAGGTTAAGGGCATTTATGCCACTGGGTGCAGTGGCTCATGCCTGTAATCCCAGCACTTTGGGCGGCCGAGGCAGGTGGATCACGAGGTCAGGAGTTCAAGACCAGCCTGACCAACGTGGTGAAACCCCATCTCTACTAAAAACACAAAAATTAGCCAGGCGTGGTGGCGTGCACCTGTAGTCACAGCTACTCAGGAGGCTGAGGCAGGAGAATCGCTTGAACCTGGGAGGCGGAGGTTGCAGTGAGCCGAGATCACGCCTGAGTGATAGAGTGAGACCCTGTCTCCAAAAAAAAAAAGAGCATTTGTACCTCACCTGTGCTTTTGGCTCCCTACAAACATAGGTAGGAAAAGGGCCTTTGTGTGTGCTGCGCGTGTCTCTGAAACATTCTTCCAGTTTTGAAGATGGCTGCTATTGACCAGGCTATTAAGAGAATGAGGCTTGGGAGCGGGAACGGTGTGGCGTGGTGGATTCACACTCCCGTCTGGCCCCTCGGGTGGCCTCACGCTGTGCTGCAAGGGGTCTGGTTTGCGGGTAGATCCTGTGACCATGAAATGAAGGGAGACAGTAACTAACACGTACTGGGGTTGAGCCTCGGGCGTTGGACGCGCTGGGCTTTTTAACAGTAGCCCCGGACGTGATCCAGGCACAGGCCGTGATGGCTCCGTCTACAACAGGAGGCTGATCGATGCTTTTTAGCAGGAAGCGTTTGTTCTCTGATGCATTGTCAGGGCCACCGCGTTGGGTGTCTGGCTGTTACCTGCAGGTCCTTGGTAGCATTGCCCCCGGGGAGCCCTGTGGGTCTCCCACTCCCCGCCCCGCCTCAGGCTCCAGTGTTTGAACCAGGGGCCCCACATGGAGGAGCCTGGCCTCCGCCACATACACTCCGTGTCCTAAACACATCTCTTTCCGATGCTGTGGGGCCGACACCCTGCTTCTCAGTACTCGTCGCCAGGGAGACAGGGCTGCCAGGCAACTACCAGCCAGTCCTTCGTTATTTAGGAAATGGGCTCTAGAGATTCAGTCCCTGGGACCTGCTCTCTGCAGGGATAAGGGGTGAGAGCCCCATCTCCCAGTCCCTGGGACAGGCACGGAGGGATTCTGGGCTGGCTCGTCCAGCCCCGGGAGACGCCCAGGCAAGAGACAAGAGTGGCCGCCACGCCACACTCCCTGGGCCACTGGTGGCTGTGGAATAGAAGAGTTACGGGGGTGTGCCAGGCAGCCAGCTCTGTGGGCACGGCGGGCCCCAGCCCCTCGAGAACTTAGCCTCCAGGGCCCGAGGACACATTCCCCCACCTGGACTTCAGCCCCGTCGCCTCCCTCCTTCTCACTCAGCTGCACAAGCCCCGGGAGAAACACACCGTCAGTCACTGCAAACCTCTTGGAGATGGGAGCAGATGGAGGCCGTGGGGGAGGGAGGAAGCCAGGTTACGTTTGGCAAAGCAGAAGGCAGAGTCTGGTAAGGGAAATGTTTCTGTGTTTAAGCTTCGAGGAATGTTAAATGCCTGGGAGTTGATATTAAAAGAAACACAAACCTTCCTGCTGCCAGCTGACCTGGGTCTGTGAGCGGGCAGTTCAGAGCCAGCGTCCCCTGGAGGCCTTTGAAGTCCCCCAGCACTCATCGTGCCGAGGCCCGGCCCTGGCCCTCCGCCGCAGAACCATCTCACCAGCTTCCTCCGGTGGGGGAGGCATCCCCCGGGGGCGTGGCTCAGAAAGTCTCGCCTGTGACTGCCCTCAGAGCCACCACGAATGGCCAGGCTGGGAGAAGAGTCGAAACAGAGCTGTTCCCACGAACCTGGGCCCCACGGAGTCATGGAACAGTCTGTCCCCACAGCTTGTCCCTGCCTCCCCTCCAGCCACGCATCTAAGGAAGGAAACTGGCACTGGCCTCTGGAATGCCGTTTTGCTGCCCCCCAGCAGGCGCTGAGGACATAGTCGGAGGTGGCTTTGAGATAGGGTCCAGCCCTCAGGGATATTCACAGGGCCTGAAGGAAAGGCAGGAGGAGGAGGAGGGCTGCCTCTGGGGCCCCCACTTCTCTCTAGGCCCCCTCCCACCAGCCCATCCAGAGAAAGCAAGGGCCTTATGGCCTAAGCGCAGGCGTTTGCTGCTGTGATGAGGCCCCAACTCTGGGTCGCCTGATGGGGCAGTGGGGCAGGAGTCGGAGCGGCGGGCTGGGGTGGGGGCAGCATTTAGTGACAGACAGATGGCAGCACGCGTCACCGGTGTGTGTCCAGCACTCGTGCTCCCAGAGGCCGCTTCCCGAACGTCATTTCCTCGTGTGATCCTTGTCGTGATCCTCCAGGGAGAATGACAGTCCCTGCGCCCCATTTTACAGATGAGGACACTGGGGTACTGAGGTTAAGTACCTTGGTCAGGCCACCTCTGCGTACGGTATGTAGGGAAGGCCATGCTCCCTCCTCTGTGCAGTGGCCCCACGTCTCAGGCCTTTGTCGACAAATCCCCCAGCCCGGCAGAGGGTCGTGGCGTGGCTGGTGGCCTGGAGAGGCAGCTGAGGTGCTGCTTTATGGCATAAGGCAAGCCTCCTTTGTTTTGGAGTCCCTGGGGCAGGGGACACTTGTGCCTGGTGCCCCTGGGAGGAAGGAGAGGAGCACACATGGGAAAGAGCAGGAGGCGGTGGGCAGATCACAAGGTCGGGAGTTCGAGACCAGCCTGGCCAACATGGCGAAACCCCGTTCCTACTAAAAATACAAAAATTAGCTGGGCCTGGTGGCTGGGCATGGTCCATAATCCCAGCACTTTGGGAGCCCGAGGTGGGCGAATTACGAGGTCGGGTGTTTGACACCCCCCGCCCTGGTCAACATAGTGAAACCCTGTTTCTACTAAAAATACAAAAATTAGCTGGGTGTGTGGCTCACGCCTATAATCCCAGCACTTTGGGAGGCCAAGGAGGGCGAATTACAAGGTCGGAAGTTTGAGATCCGTCTGGCCAACATGACGAAACTCCGTCTCTACTAGAAATACAAAAAATAGCCGGGTGTGGTGGTGCGTGCCTGTAATCCCAGTACTTCGGGAGGCTGGGCCAGGGGATCACCTGAGGTCAGGAGTTCGAAACCAGCCTGGCCAATATGGCGAAACCCCCTCTCTACTAAAAATACAAAAATTAGCCAGGCATGGTGGCGGGCACCTGTAGTCCCAGCTACTTGGGAGGCTGAGGCAGGAGAATCACTTGAACCTGGGAGGTGGAGGTTGCAGTGAGCCGACACTGCTCCATTGCCCTCCAGCCTGGGTGAGACAGAGTGAGATTCTGTCTGGGAAAGAAAAGAAAAGAAAAGAGGAGGAGGGGCACTTAGTGTGATCTGTGAGGTCCCAGCTCCGCAGGTGCAGGGTCCTGGCCTCAAGGGACCCACTGTCAGACTGGAAAGACAAGTCTGTTGATCCATGTTCTCCAGTGAGAAGAACGCAAGATGCCAGTCACAACAGCCGTGCACACATTGGTGAGCCCAGGACGAGCCCAGCACGGTGCTAAATGCTTCCGTCTGCTGTCTCGGGATCTTCCCAGGACCCTGTGGGAGAGGAATGGCATCACAGCTAGAAAGACGAGGAAGCTGGGGCTGAGGAGCCCGGCCAAGGCCATGTGCCCAGGTGTGAGCCAGGGCGGGCAGCTGGCTGCAGAGCCCATTTCTAGATGCCCCGCTGCCTCCTGCCTAAGAAGACTGTCCCGCAGGAATTCAAAGGCAGAAGGGTCACCCTGGGCTGGAATTAGGGAGGCTTCAAGGAGGAGGTGGAGCGAGAGTGATTTGGCAGCCCTGGGTTTTTTAATTCCGGAAGCAATGTTTGTATGAGAAAGAAAATTGCAGTAGAAGCAGAGAGACTTGAAACATAATCAGAAACCATCCCTACTCCCACTCCTCCAAAGCAGCCAATTTATTCTGTGCCTTTTCCCTTCTCGAGGTATACACATTTTTATAGAGATTTAATCAGGGCCTGGATTGTCTGTTTGTATATTTTCATGGATTATTATAAACCTCCTCTTTTTCTAGGGCTGTATGGAGTCTTCCTAAGCACCTTTTTGGATACTTTGTTAAAAGTAGTTTATATTGTTTATAGAAATCGTTGTATAAAACGGCCAGCGCAGTTGCTATGCTAAGGCTCTGTGTTATTCTAGCAAGGTGGGCAGGCTCTGCATCTGCAGAAAGGAGTAGGGTGGGCATTCCAGGGAGGAAGGAATGTGAAGGGAGGGTCCCAGGAAATTCAGGAGCCTCAGCAGGGGTGGCGCGGGAGCTGTGAGCAACGCCAGTAGAAGGAATGAATTAAAGGAGAGGATTCGTGGGGGTTTTGGCCGGAAGAAGTCTTTTTTTTTTCTTTGAGATGGGGTCTCTCCCTCTTGCCCAGGCTGGAGTGCAATGGCGCGATCTCGGCTCACTGCAACCTCTGCCTCCCAGGTTCAAGCAATTCTCCTGCCCCGGCGTCCCGAGTAG